ATATTCTTAACATTGGAATATAAAATTTATAATGCAATTTTATAAACAGAAATCAATATTTCTCGTCTACTCTTTACAAAATTTATCATAAATACATTTTTTTACACACACAGATTTTATTTTACATGGTGCAAATTACATTATTGTTCGTTTGTTGGGTTAGAGATCGTGTAAGTCTATTTATACAATATACATATTTGTTTGGTCGAGACGATGGTTCATACTGCTGGGGTCTGACCATCTGTCTGACCCTAGCTTCGGTCCAGTTACTTATAAATTTGACATTTTCACTGTAAAAAAAATTACGAAGTGAACGCAGATTGAAAACCTGACAAGGTCTGCCGAGTCAGCTAGTTTTGTTTCATTTCATGAGGTACATTACCTACCGCTATCGTTTTAAATAAGTTTATTATTTTTTAGGTTGCAATATTTAGGCACTATGCCCTCCGCCGTTTAATTTATAATGACATCATATTGTAGTACGTATTACCCGAACAATTATAATATTCACAATAGAAATATTTTTGTCGAAATCCGACGCCTAGCTTAGAAGTTAAGACAGGACGTACATGCAAACCACAACAAGCAAAACACACACCAGTAAAATTATTATTCTCCTTTTTGGGTCCGCCGCAGTCGGGTCAAAATAACAGTAACATTTGCTATATTTTCTGTCGCTACATTGTTCCGCATGACGGCACTCAGGACCAGTCGTGCGCGTTGAAAACATACCCGCCCAATAACGTACAGTGGTTCGACCCCGACCATTACCGCCTTACAACCTACGCCTCCACACGACTGGAGCCCATTTATATGCTATAGGGGACTTTTCCTTCTCCCGAAAACACCCAATGTCTCGCTTACAACGTATCAATTCGTGTTTTAGGATGATGAAATACTTGGTTTCTTTGAAATCGAACAGTTATAATTTTTCACGAGTTTTCGCCAACGCCCACACTGTATGCTGCGTTCAGGTATTGGATCAAGAATGCGGAATTTATATCATTAAATAACAATACAGTTTTTATGGCTTTTGGAATGACATTGTTGTAACTATACATCAATAAAATTAAATAGCATGTCATTATCTCAAAAACTAATTCATTTGAGTGTTTTATACTGTATGCTAACAAAGTCATTTTTGGGTTTAAATGTAATTCGTACTTTTATAATAATGTTACAAGCCCAAAGCCACGCCCTAATTGTGCAGAAATGTTTTAACCAATATAAACAAAATATTCAGATTTGAAAGATAGGATAGGAGCCCACATATCACACATATCATATCATATTAAAGAAAATTTAATGTAGATTTTGGGATGTTTTAGGAGTAATTCAGAAGTCTTTCATAGTTTGAAATAAACTGAAAAAATTGCCTCTGAATCATTATTTTGATCAGATTATGATTTGAATTGGTTGGAAATAACGGGTGGAAAACCGATACTTAAAGTCCTTCAGAAGCTCTTCAATCACGTCCTCCATGGTGGCACTGCTTTGGGGGCGTGGAGCAGAAGTGCGGTGGTCTTGTTCTTCAAGATAGGCGACAACGCTCTCATAAAGAACTACAGACCGATTTCCTTTCTGAGCTACGTCTACATGCTGTTTTCGAGAGTCATTACGAATCGTCTCGCACGCAGACTCTACGACTTCCAGACTCCCGAACAAGCCGGTTTCCGAAAAGGCTTTAGCACCACAGACCACTTATTTTTATTTTATTCAAACTTACACTTTTATTTTATTTTACTTTTATTTTATTCACTTACATACCCTTCGACAAGTTGTACAGATATCCGAAGGGTACGAACTACCACTTTGTCTTGCGTATGTAGACTACGATAAATCCTATGATTCCGTCGAAATTTGGGCGGTGCTACAGACCCTTCAACGATGCCAAGTTGACTGTTGGTATATCGAAGTGCTGAAGTGCTTGTAAAGTAGGCCTATAATGACTATCTGAGTACAGAACCACAGTACAAAACCTTTTCAACTGCAGATAGGTGTAAGATAGGGTGACGTTATATCCCCGAAACTCTTCACCAATTCCAATGCAGCTGAAGACAATTTCAAGCTATTGATCTGGAAAGGATACGGTAATAACATCAATGGCAAGTACATCACTCCCCTTATATTTTCCGACGATATAGTCCTTATGGCGGAATCGCTGGAGGTTCTAAGCACTATGCTCAATGACCTCAATAGTGTCTCCCAACTGATAGGTCTTGTGTAATGTCCATGTCACACCTATGCTGGTAGTTGTTGGAGGCACTAAGCTTGAAGTTATTGACGAGTACGTTTACCTGGGACAAATAGTCCGAATAGGTAAGTCCACTTCGATCGAGAGAAATTTTCGGGAAATTACGACAGATCTCTTCAGGTACACCTCCAAACCTAAAAACGAGATTATACAACCAGTGGCGTGTTGCCAGTGATGACTTATTGGTCTGAGACTTTTTCACTGCTGGCCGTATAAGGACGCTCAAGGTCGCACAGCGAGCTATAGATAGGGTACTGCTCGTAGTTTCTCTGGGTGTTAAACTTAGGAATGAGGATATCCGCAGTAGAACCAGTGTGACCTACATAGCCCAACGAATTAGTAAGCTGAAGTGGCAATGGGCCGGCCATACCTATGGGGATAAAATGTTTTCGAGGGACAGCCTCGTACCGGTAGGTGTAGTGTGGGTCGACTTCCACCAGAGGGAGTGACCACCTGGTAAGACATGCAGGAAGTCGATGGATGCAGGTGGTTTAGAACCGTGCTTTGTGGCAGTCCTTGGGGGAGGCCTAAATTCAGCAGTGGACTTGCAGGGCTGTAATGATGATGATGATGATGTTGATGGGTTGAATCATTTCTGCACGAATAGTTTCAAATGTATATTACAAAAGTAATTTCTTTGTAAGTATTATAATTGTATCAGTATATTTGCAATATCCACCTGAATTATAATAACCTTAAGGATAAATTCAATTAATAAACATCGCAACACATAACACGAGAAATATTAGCGAACTCCGCTTGTTGAACAATGTTACTATATTAGAAACATTTCGCGTCAGTGTATTAAAAAACGCGTTATTTTTTGAATTCTGAACACAGACACCCCAGTTTCATAGAGCAATTTATCCTTTTGTTGTGTTTCAAGTGTCCTTCCCTGCCATTTTCTCCATTCGGTGGTGAGTGAGCGAAAATTAGCATGGAGACCGGCAAATAGCGCGCGTTGTCATAATGGCGCGATTATCGCACGTCGCGTCTGAGGCGACAACTTGCGCGCTTTTTTTCTAAAGAAACGTTACAGCTTTTTTAATTTTTTTAATCAGCGTTATTGTAATTTTCTAATTTTTATTATTCAATTGCATGTCGACGTAATATTTTCGTACCGATAAATCGGTAAAACATGCATGTTCACGTTATGTTATAAGACCTAAAAATGTACCATTTTTTATGCAAATAAATATTTACTGGAAGTCCCAGGAGTGTTATCCAGAGTTGGCATACTATCGACTTACACTCTCTCGTAGGCACGCAGCCCTCGGCATAGCCATCTTGGCTTGGATTGTTTTTTTTTATAGAAGATGGGGCAAACGAGCATGCGGCTCACCTGATGTTAAGTGACTACCGCCGCCCATGATCTCTTAGTCTGGCTCTTCGCCCTAGATCTATCTCAGCATCTGTAAACTCTATCGGCATAAACCTAGAGTTCACTGGAGAACACAAGCCCCACCACTTCGTCAACGGAGAGATACAATGGATAATATCATTATTATTATATTCGGTTACTTATTGCGGTACTGTTTTTTTTTATAAAATTGAAATGAAAAACTACAACTTACAGTCTACCTTATAGTAAGAGGCTACTTTAGCTCAAGGGCACTTGCAACCAAATCAAAAAAATATAGTCTACGTATGCAGTAGCAGTACTGAGGACTAGACGGACTCACAGCCTGAAATCATACTGGCTCTCGAAACACTTGACATCGAAACACACTGGCGACAGAGAGAATAGGAAACAGGATATAAGCTGCAACATCTTCATATTAAAAGCTTAAATTATAAAAAAACTGTAGTTGCCCAGTTGCCTGCTCAGCGTGGCACTTATGGCAAATATCCTCCTAATGTGTCAATCTACAAGGAGCATAGGGGATTTATGTGCAGTAACGGACGTTGATGGGCTACGAATGATTCAATCTTTGAAAATTAAAAAAAAATATTACTAAATCCTTGCAAAATATTAAAAAATAAAAAATGGATTGCGGCAACAAAAAGGCCACGGCCTCAGCATAATGCTACAGTAACAGAGTTACCGCAGCGCTGATATTCTGTCGGAGCCACATATTCAGTCACCTAGCAAGCAATCGCTGAACTAATTGTAACACTTTTAATCAAAAATTACTTAATCAAAATTAACATTATGTAACGCAATTCGACTGTATATTTTTTTATATTAAGCGATATCTTAGGCAATCGTGAGCCGAATTTAATAATTCTTTTTATTAAAAAATTCTAACCCAGTGTAGCAAAATAGGGAACGAATTTTTAATTTTATTATTTGTACTCTGTTTTTTTTTAAAAACGAGTACCGAGTATATCTCTCGCACATTTCCAATATTGGCAGAGTGAGTTAGGGATGGGGCCAACGCCTATGTTCTTGTTTTGAAATTGAATAAGTACTTTTAAAATTTATTGTAGAGAAAATTAATTTATTTTTATATATAGGTAAATAATTTCTCAGAATACCAGCATTAAATATGTCATTAAAAGTGCTTTTATTCGCGCGGTGAGTGCAGAGACTGCTTTTTATAATGATTTTTGGTAACGATAGGCCTCTATGGGCAACAGCTTCTGGCTACCACCAGGTGGACTGTGTGCTTGTTTGGCATCTTTACTATTTTAAGAAAAAACTGTAACATTTTTTTAATAGCGGACTGGAAACAATTGGGGCCAATGCGAAATTTCGCCATAAAATCAAAATAAAAACAGCGGAAACTTATCGCTATCTTTCCAGGTTCCGGACAAATTCAGCTATGGCAGTTCCTCCTTGAACTGTTAAGTGATTCGAGCAACGCGGGATGCATCACCTGGGAGGGCACCAACGGCGAGTTCAAGCTCACCGACCCCGACGAAGTGGCCAGGAGGTGGGGCGAGCGGAAGTCCAAGCCCAACATGAACTACGACAAACTCAGTCGCGCTTTAAGGTAAAACTAAAGGCCGTGCTCCGTGGCATTGCGAATTCCCGGGTACCCGATACACTGTGCGTTGCGAACTGGCTGGACGCGATTTATAATTAATTTAAAAAAACTAAACGTTTGCATGTATACGTGTTTTAGTTTAATTTACTAACGTCTAATACTCCACACAGATACTACTACGACAAGAATATAATGACGAAGGTTCACGGAAAGAGATACGCGTACAAGTTTGATTTCCAAGGGCTGGCGGCGGCCACGCAACCGACCGCCAGCGACCCGGCCTACAAGTACCAGAGCGACTTGTTCATGAGCTCATATCACCACTCGGCTAAACTGTCTTCGTTCATGGCTCCACATGCGGCGATGCCCACATCCACAGGTAATCAATTAGTCCAAACGAACTGCGATCGCGAATGTCAAGCTGTGCCTTATTTTTGTGATATCTGCCTATACGATCTCTAAAACTTTCTAGCAATACCACTACAGAAACCACCGTCATTTCTTTAAAAAACAATATATAATTATTGCAAAATCATGTTAGGTCATAATATAGCATATTAATTATGCTCTCTCCTGATCCGAGTCGCCTTTACAAGTCTTGTTGTAAGACCCAAAATGCCGACTCGAACACAGAGCTTTGTATAATTATGGTTTAACTTCACTTAAGGTAAGTTTATTTTACCATTTTTTTTATAGGAGAGGGGCAAACGAGCATGCGGCTCACCTGATGGTAAGTGATTACCGCCGCCCATGAGCAACCGCAACACCAGGGGAATTGCAGATGCGTTGCGGGCCTTTTAAAAAGTCGTAGGCTCTTTTCTTGAAGGTCCCTAAGTCGTATCGGTCCGGAAAAATCTCAGGTGGTAGTTGATTCCACAAGGAAGTTCTGTGAGGAAAAAAACTTCTTTTAAATCGCAGAGTGGTGGACCGCCAGTCATCCAGATGGTATAGATGATGTTTTGTCGCGATGTGCGATAGTGAAATTGCATGGCTGGAATTAGTCCGAACAATTCCTCAGAGCACTCCCCGTGGCAAATACGACGTAATACGCAAAGAGATGCAACATCTCTTCACAGTGGCAGTGAGTCAAGCCAATCGGAAAGAGCTCCGTCGCCGACGATTCGAACGGTTCTGTGCTGGATGCGATCAAATGGAAGGAGTTGGTACTGGGGAGCCGCAGCCCAGAGATGAGAACAGTATTCCGTGTTCGGCCGAACCTGCACCCTGTAAAGTTGTGGGAAATACTGTCAAGAAATACTGTCCCTCTCTGCTGAGCACGCCAAGCTTTTTAGAGGCCACTTTGGCCTTCTCTTCCAAATGACCACGAAATTGCACGTTACTCGATATGTCGACGCCGAGGATTCAGATACTTTCTGAGGGAACAAGGGGAGTGCCTTGAAACTGAGGAGATACGGCAAGGGGGTTATTTTTAGCGGTTAAAAAAACGCAAACTTGTGTCTTCTGAGGATCAAAATGGACTAGATTTAGTCGCCCCCAATCCGAGACTTTGCTCAGCAAAGACTCGACTTCAGCAACAAGTTTGTCCCGGAAACGTTTTCCCGAAAAATATTAGCACAGCCAGTGTACAGAGCATCACCTGTGCTGTCATCAGCATAGCAATGAATATTGCAGGTTTGCAACATATCATTGATATGCAGAAGAAACAACGTTGGTGATAGCACGCAGCCTTGTGGAACACCAGCATTAATTTCTAAAGGCTTGTAATCGGGGCTTGCACCGTCTACAACGACCTTGATGGTCCTATCTAAAGAAAGCTGGTGATCCAATTGCACAATTTCTCGGGAAGCCCATAGGAAGGAGCTTCGAAAGAAGCGCTTTGTGCCAAACCTGATCGAAGGCCTTCGCAATGTCCAAACTAACGGCCAATGCCTCCCCTTGGACTCTACTGCCGCCGCCCATCTACGTGTCAGGTAGATCAGAAGATCACCAGCTGATCGACCACGACGAAAACCACAAAAGATACGACACAGGGGTTCTTTTTAGCGGTAAACTCCAAAAAACCTCTGTTACTAGTTGTAATAGAATTGCTTAGAACAATGAAATCAATTTATGTAATAGACTGTTCGTAGCAATTTACGAATATAATTTTTAAGGCTTTTACCCGAAAAAAATACTATTAACTTTTACAAACTTAAATTTTTTAAGAGACGAGTAAATAGATATTTGGACATTCGATAGGCGACACTAATACGAGGAAAATTTCGGGAATCAAGGAAGTGACACAACATTACTATTTAAAAATGTATTTATTGCTTTTCGAAGTATTCTCCGCGAAATTTGACACATTTTTCAATACGATGGAACGAATCATTGAAGCAACCATTCCATTCGGAAGTTGGGGTCTACAAAATGGCCGTTTAGTAGGCGTCCACAGCCTCTTCAGGTGATGAAAATCTCTAGCCACGCAATTTATTCTTTATTTTAGGGAAAGTATAGAAATCATTAGGGCTTAGGTCGGGGCTGTACGGCGGATGCTCTAGTAATTCTATATTTTCTTGCTCTAAAAACTCTTTTGTTCTGTGTGCGGTGTGTGAACTCGCATTGTCGTGATGGAGGATGATGCGGCGGTTGCAGTTCTCTTTACGGAGTTCAGAAACGACCTGTGGCAAACAAATGCTAGCATACCATTCTGCATTAACAGTTCTTTGTCCTTCAAGACGAATAGTCCTAACATGGCCGGTTTTGGAGACAAACGTGTCCACCATTTTTTTGCAACACTCCGTTAACGAACAATTTTTGTTGGCTTTAACTCATTTTCGAACACCCAAACTCGTGACTGGTTTTTTGTTTCGGGTTCCCACGCGTATATCCATGATTCGTCACCTGATACGATATTGTATACAGCAGTTGAGGATCCTGCGTGGAATCTTTTCAGAGTCCTAACGCACCAAGTAACGCGAGCCGCTTTTTGCTCTTCACTGAGCCAATGCGGTATCCATCGGGAAAACAACTTTTTTACACCTAATTGTTCACGCAAGATTATTTGTATTTGACTCATGCCAATGTCTAAAGTTGCCTGAATTTTGCGGTATGTCACATGTCGATCTTCCTCAATCAGCTTACGCACAGCATCAACGTTTTCTTGGGTCACTGCAGTTTTTGGACGACCTTGACGGGGATCTTCACTGAGCTTGATACGTCCACGTTGAAATTCAGCAAACCAGCGATAAATTGTGGTTTTGGATGGGGGCTTCATCACCAAATGCAGAAATCATCCGGTCAACACACTGTTTTTGTGTTAAACCTCTTCGAAAGTCATAATAAATCATCGCTCTTGAATTTTTCGAGTCAATTCCATTTTCTCAACGACTAAACAAGTTTGACAAAACCTTGTGACAAGACCGAGAATCTTTTTTAAATAAATAAATGATATTCGATTTTTAAAACCAAGGCCTTTTCAATTAAAAAGATTTTGACAAGAACAGTGGAAATATTCCATTCTCGATACTTTTAGTGCAGCCTAGTATTCAGTTAGTATTCTAAAAAATATTTCGTAAAATTAAACGCAATCACATATCAATCACAACATATTTTTATCTGGTTTGACGATTGCGTAGCGTAGTGGCTAAGCGTTTAGTCGTAGCGCTACAAGACCGCAAGTTCGAATCCCGCACGGAACAAATATTTGTATGGTCTTCAAAATAATTGTTCCGGGTCCAGATGTAGATCCTTGTACGTACTTGTACTACATTGTAAAACAAAGTTACACCTCAGAACGTTCTAGTAATTAAATAAAATATATCGAAATTCAAATCATATCCACCCTACTTAACGAACGGCAATAAAAAAAATTGAAGGTATCTTTGACCTTGTCACTTCATAAGGTCACAGGCTCAAGGGCAAAGTATAAATATTTAAAAAAATTCAAACGTTTAATTCAAAATTTATGTTGTTAATTTTTGTAAAATATCAGTGCCTTAGGCTCTCTACTCCGTTCACATGTTACACCCTATTTTCTTCCAGGCGGTAAAAAAGGTCACATGAATATATATATATATATATATATATATATATATATATATATATATATATATATATATATATATATATATATAATCATTAATATTTCAAAAAAAATGTATTTGGTAAGTAAAACGAAGAGATGAATAGGAAATAAAATAAAAAGATGTTCTAAGTTGTTAACATTAGAAAACTCATTGTTCGATTAATAGCATAGTATTGTTAAATCGAACAATAAGTGTCGGATATATTACATTATTAGATCAATACTATTTTTTAAATCGTTTAAAAATACTGGCAACAAATAACGCCGCATCTGGACGCAATACAAATCAAAACGCGCGAGTGGATACGCGCGTAAAACGCGCTTTCTGGACAGGCTATAACGCGCGAGAGCATCTGGACGGCATGTATGTAGCTCTAGTATCTCGAGAACGCGCGAGTGCCTACGCGCGAGTGGATACGCGCGTAAAACGCGCTTTCTGGACAGGCTCTAAAGGAAGCTCCATTAAAAATTCTTAAAAAAACATGTCACAACAATAGTGTTAATATCATGCACCCTTCAGTCGCAAGGCGCTCTCTGCCCAGTCTGCGTCTCAATGCTGTACTGCAAATATTGGCACACTACTCGAAACTGCTTGTCATTGGCACGAGACGCCTTCGCGTACTCGACTTAATGGAATAAACCGATTCCACGGAGCTAGTTCACACATTCCGAGGCAATTTGAATGCTGCTAACACTGTTAGGTTTTATTAGCACTGCATAATTGTAAAAATATGTGAAATAAAATTAAACCTTTTTTCTGACACACAATACATATTACCTAATTGTTCGTTCGTGTCGTAGTTGTTATATACATAAGTTTATAAAAAACATTCTAGCTGAATTCGGGGCTTTATATTTTTTGTTTTATACATGTCTTAGAACCGACTTTTGAAGCCGTTATGTAAATAATATTTTTTAAGTTGTTTTAATCAGCTGTACGTACGTAAAAGTAATATTTTTGGTCTGTCTATTCGCTTTCGCATAGTATTCCGCAATAGTAGTAAAATATTCCTTTGTTTTCACACATTAATTGAACTCAAACAATTACAGTTTTGTTATATAGATCGTGAAATCACGAAGGTCTTAATTAATACTAGTATTATATTATTATGCATTAAACTAGGATATACAGCGGCTTGTCCCTAGCTTCACACGGGTGCGAATCATATATCGATTTAAGATCCATAAGAGTAGACAAAGGTTATATGAACTTAACAATGAAAGGTCATAATAATCTTTAAAAAAAATCTCAAAATATCTAAAAAGTGTGCTCCATAGCAAATCCTCTGCATTTAAGCAGCTAAGACAGCTTCTAATAAAATTAAAATAACATGGAGTACAATTAATAGTGAAACTGATAAGGTCAACTCTCGCAATTCAAACTAGGTACCAGTTAAGTGTTAACAACAAATTAACTAAATCAGATCAGGACGTTGCTATGATTTTTGTAAAATATTTTACTGATATTCCGATCTTAACCACTAAGTCACTGAATTCTTCTGAAATTCTCGCTGGTTTTCTTCCAGTTTATTCCCAGAACAGAGTTTTTTTATAACCGGTGGTAAATTAAAAAAATGACATTCAATAAGTATTATTTATATTCTCTTATTTATAAGCCATTATTATTTTATATTTATCAACTAGCAACTCGCCCCGACTTCGCCTGGGTAGGACTTGGCGAGTGATCTGTCGTGTTGTTTCGATTTTTTTAAATAAACATCAAAGACCATTATTCGTTTTATCAATTTTTCGATTTCGTATTACATACTCTAAGTTTTTCGGATAAGATATAGCTTCAAGGCTCAGAAGGGCTAGAACCCAGAGCCGTAAAGCCAGTTAATAAGAAAAATATAGCTTCAATCACTCCTGACATTGCTCGTTGATTGTCGTCTTCATGCCCCCAATGTGACATGTAGGGTTCGGGCCGCGAGGATAGGGGTTGGGGTTGGGGGTATACCCCCATTACCCGTGCTATCCTCGCGGTCCACCACTATGGACCGGTCCTGGGAGCCTTCTATTGGCGTTTTTAGTTAGTTTTTCCCGTAGTTAACCGACTACGGGAAAAAAGAGAGGTTGTCTAATATAAAGTCGGAGTTGGCCTTTCAGCGGCATTGAGGGTTGTTACTCGACTCTCTAATCGATATAGAGAGGAGTTCTCTTGGATAGGGTCGCCCGTCCGGAGAGCAAGTGTGTAGCGGCGCAAGTTGGTTAAGATGTAGGTGTGGCCCGTTGTCTGCACGGTCGAACAATCCGCGCGCCAACCGGCCACAAACTCTGGATGGTGTCAATCTTCAGGTTGGCCGCTATGACGTCATTCCGGACGTAGCGACACGACATGGTTCTTAAGGCCATATTTTGCTGGGCCTGCAGTCGCCGCCTCAGAGGCTCGCTCAGAAACGCGTACCAGGCCGGAGCAGCATACGTAATGATGGATCTGATATATGTTTTGTAAACTCGCACTTTGGTGTTAAGTGGTAACTTGGATGCCAGGACCGGACTGAGCATCGCCCGCGCACATCGTGCTCTGCGGACGACGAGGTCGACGTGCGCAGTCATGCGCAGCACCCGGTCGATCCGGCACCCAAGGTAGGTCACGGCCTTCTCGTACGCGATCTTCTGGCCATTGAGGGTTAGCTGAGGTGGTAGGTTCCTGAGGCGGCGAGTGAGCAGAGCGGTCGTCTTACCAACGTTGACGACCATCCTCCACTCATCTAGCCATGGTGGCAGCAGGTCCAGGAGACGTTGCATCCTGGCAGTGGCAATGTGGGCTCTTCTGGACGAAGTGAAATAAGCGAAATCGTCCGCGTATAACGCCAATTCCACGTCATCCTCCCACTCTTGCAGCCTTCCTGCTAGGGTAGGGATATCGTTGGTATAAGCCGCGTACAGGACTGGAGACAAACAGCTGCCCTGAGGAACTCCGGCTCTGATGGTTCTGGTTGCGGACTCGGCGCCCTCTACGCAGACGTAGAACTTCCTGTCTGCCGGGAAAGACGCCACTAGCCGCAACATAGCAGGAGGGACACTGGTCTGTTCTTCTAGTTTATAAAGTAGTCCAGAATGCCACACCCTGTCGAACGCCTTCTCGATATCGAGAAAGACGCCCAACGTAGTGCGGCCACGGTTGTATTCGGCCACAAGCAGGTGCAGCACTCTGGTCAGCTGTGTTGCTGTGGAGTGACCCCTTCTGAATCCTTGCTGCTCCACCCGAAGTTGGATGCACGGGCGGAGGCGTCTTAGCAACAATCTTTCAAGCAGTTTAGCTATGTGTGGTAGCAGCGTGATCGGCCTGTAGCTGGTAGCTCTACGCCTGTCCTTCCCGGGTTTCGGCAAGACGATCACTTTGCCTTTCTTCCAGTCCTCCGAGAAGTGGCATGTCCGCAATATCCCATTGTAGAGTCGACCAAGCTCTACTAGGACTCAATGGGGCGGCTGTCGGAGTGCAGCGTTGGTAATCCCATCGTGCCCCGGCGCCTTCCTCGGTTGCAGGCGGGTTGCTGTCCTCCGCAGTTCAGCGGGGGAGATGAACGACTCTCCTGCAAGAGGCGGCGCGGGCGACGACAGGAACTCCTGTACGTGACTCTCCTTTTGGTCATGAAGTTCCAAGAACTCCGCACTTGCTATCCGGGATAGGATATACACTAGGATTTCCGCTCTACCCTTGGCATCGTAACGACGTTCGCCCGCGTTGTTGGTCAGCGGGCAAACGGGAGGTTTGGCTTTAATTAACTGTCGGTTCAGTTTATAGAGCGACGCATCATGCTCTTCCGCCTTCCATATACGCCGCTCCCAGGCATCTCCTCTGTGTGCCTGGACTGCAACCGACAGTTCCTCCGACAAGGTGTTCAGTTGCGTCTTGATTCTCGGGCAGCGAGTACGCGCCCAGAGTCTCCTTAACGCCCTTTTTCTCCTGATCTGCACGCTAATGTGGCGCGGCAGATCGTCTCTCCTTGTAGACATCGGGACGATCGTAGAGGCAGCGTTGAGGGCCTCCTGTATCGCCTTGGTTATGTTGGTAGCTGCGGTCTCTACTTCGTCCGCTGTGTTTAAGGGGTGGTGTGCTGGAGGTCTCTCCTGCAGGTGTTTGTGGTAGAGCCTCCAGTCGACACGTGTCTTAACTGTTCTGGGCGGCGTAGTCACCGCCTTTAGGCCAAGGGTAATTAAGATCGGGAGGTGCTGTGAATCCAGGTCGTACAGCACCTCTACCACTATCGGGTAGTTGATGTTCCTAGCGAGCACGATGTCCAATACATCCGGACGACTTCGTGGATCCGTCGGAACATGTGTGGGTTCTTCGGGACCTAAAACGCCTGACATTGCTCTCTCGTGAAGTTTCATCACAATGGGCTAAGCTATACCGAAGAGCGGACAGACAGACAGACTGACCGACAATTATTTAAAACTTTTACTAATGTCTTAATGGCATGCAAATAACCCCCTCAGCACAATAAATGGCAGTTATTTCGATATTGCAGACATCAATTTTATTTATAATACGTATATGTCAAAGTTAAAACTCATAATCGGTCAAAACCACTTTTTACTGCGAAAATCAAGCAAAAATGTTTTTCATCGAGGCCCTTCGTCAAAATTAGTTTTGACTAATGTTTTAGTCACCAGGTTGGGGAATCTGGGGCGGTGTGGGGTGGTTTTGTGTCAAAATGATTTTTTCTATCAGCCAAAACTCGCAATATCATTCACAGTAGGTTAAGGAGCGCCTGCGGTGGGGCTTGGGCCACCCTAAAGCCGTGTACATTATAGTGATATAAAATATAATTTTAGAATTGACTATTTTAATTTCAAAGAGTATAAAACAAAAGTAGTTTTGACTAACATTCTTAGTCAAAACCAATTTAACCGGTAAAATTTGGTCAAAATCACTATTACCCAATATTTTGCAGTTAAAAATGGTTTAACCAAAGTCCTTAGTATAAACTACTGGTTTTACCGGTTGAGTTTTGACTGTAACATATACACATTATGCTGACATACAATATGCGCGTTACAGACAAAAAATCTCCCTCGATATGTTAAAATATATCAATATATAATAATTTAATGTTGATGAAAACTGCATTTAAAATGTCATTAATTACATAGTCTCAAAGTTTTAAGGGAATGCATCGACGGACGGATAAACCGATGATGACGTCACCGGGTAAACGGTTTAGTTTTTTACTGTAGTATAGTAAAGTTTTAGAGATCAATATTGCGCTGGCTAGCTCAAAAAGCGAATGCTTCGTCTTCCAAATTGAATTTTGATTCTGTTTTTATTTTCTTTTTTAATGACAGTCTTGTTTATTTCTGACGTCATGATAATAAAAAACAAAAAACACATTGTGCTATTTTATAAGGCTTAATTATGTATTGTGGAGTGAGTTTTCCAATAATAGAATTTTTATTATTTGATAAAAAAAATATTTTTAAAATCCTGTTACTTTGTTCGATTTTTCTTTCTATAAGCCTAAAAGCTGACTTTCAAAAGTATTAATTTACTTTTTTATTACTTATTCCTAAAAGCTCATAACAATCGAATCCTTGATATTATCTCAAGTCGCAGTTTTGGATTGCAGCGATACGAATTGAACATCATGTTAACTTAGGTTAGTGAACTATTTTGTTTCAGCGTCAATATTTCCTTCAGCGTCGTGGAGCAACTGGGGTGGAGGGGGGAGCAACCTCTACTCCCCCCACTCGATGGCGCCTCCCCACGTGACGTCACATTTGGGCTCTTATCCACATTACGCATGACCGTCCTTCTAAGACAAGGGCACTGTAAACGACGACAATTTGTAAAAGGTATAATTATTTCAACACCATTCGGTGTTATAATGTACGCTTCGTAATTTCTTGTAATTTGGGTTCTGCTGCGAGGCTAAAGTTGAGAAATCATTTATAAATATTATTGATTAATGGTCACATATATTTTGTTATTCTGTTTGCAAATTTTAAACACCAAAGACGTCTAATTTTGTCTCTTACTTTATAGTACCAAAATAAATTTTTTATCGTTATATTTTCCTTTTTGTTAAATATTATTTTTGTTATTTTTCGCTTCAACTAAAAAGCAATTTATATGTCACGATGAATGTTGTTAAATAAGTCAGAAATGTACGAGTATGTGTGAATTGGCTTAATGTATGAATATACCATAGATCATGACCAAGATCTAGAGACAATATATTTTAATTTGTTTTTATTAAAATTGCGTTCTTAATTCAACTAAAAATTATTTGTACTCTTTTTAATTTTTACCCTAATAAATAAATAAGATCACGTTTATGCGCAATGTAGGTGTTCTTGTTTACATTTACAAATTAACAAACATTAAAAATACTTATTTTATCAAGGAATTTAATAAAAAATTGTACCAAAACAAATAATTTTTTTGTGTTACATTGCAATTCACACATTCTAGCGAACGAACACCAAACGCTGATCATGCACCTTTTTATTTAATTTATATTTCGGAAATAATTATTGTTAACAGTAAGAGGGATATCATACTATTTTAGTAATTAATTCATTTTGATGAATCATATGAGTATTAGTTAATTATCAATTATTTTAATATATTATGTTCACAATATTTTTAAGGAAATGTAATCACTGGATCAGCAAGACTAGTCCTTTATCAAAGATTCTTGTATATAATAGATACTCATTGATTAAGTAGAAATATATAATTTATTTAGGATATTAAGTAATAAAATTTTATTGGTCGTAAATTAAAATTCGTGTAAATGAAAACGAGTAAGTCTCGAGTGTAACTAATGTAGAACGTTTCAATAAATAACGTATGATGATAGCATTTATAAAAATAACTGTTCTTCATAATCTACAATATATTTGGACAAGTTTAAATGCATCCTTTCATGTTTTCAATTTTCTAGTTCAAACTGCAGCTGCTTTAATATAATAAATACACAAGAAATTAAATACTTAGGAACAACAATAGATAGCATCTTCAATTCAAAGCACACATAAGAAGTTTAACCCAAAGAGTCAGAAAACTTACTTACAGTTTTAAAAACTTAAGACATGTAACAAATTAGACATTGCTAAAACTGTTTATATATACTTGTGCCAATATTACTGGGTTCCAATAAAGCACATATGCTTGAGCTCAACGAATGATTTTAAAAATTGCACTTTATAAACTAAAAATGTCCTCAACTACCAGTTTATTCAGGGAAGCTAACGTGGTACGTGGTACAGTACGGAAACTATATATTGTCTTCAATTTAAAAAAAACACACTTGCACTGTGTTTACACCCAATTCACTACAAACTAGGAGAAGAAATTATGAGGTATGCGAAACGAAACAAGCAAAATCTACTTTCGCCCAAAAGTTTTGTGGATACAGAATAGGCAGGTTATATAATAAAATTAATAAAAAATAACGGATTGGCTTCAAAAATTGGATTACGAAGAAACAGAGAATTTACTGTAAATGCGGAAAAGTGAGATAGAAAAACACATACACACACACACCTATAATTATATGCTTTTATTATTATTATTATTATTTAAAACATATTGTATGTTTATTCTATGTGACTTTTACTGTAAATTACACTTTGGAAATCTTATATTCGATCTCCACATGCAACGCTCACTTCAGTTCTAAGTACATTATCATCGAACTGTATGTAAGAAAGCCAAGAGGGGGAGCTAGGAGACCCATAGCACAGGGTAACCTAGTTTGGGCTCCTGTCTCCCACAGCAACTCAACAAATCCCAAACAACTCTGAAACAAATGTAACTATGTAAAAAGTGGGCGAAATAAATATTATTATTATTATCTCAATTTATTTTTTATACTATTATTTTAATATTTTTTCTCATCTAAGGCCAGTGGAGTGACACTTGGCGAAACTCCAGCTTCATTTTTGTGATTAGGATTCACACGTGCTTGCTTCATAATATTTATATAAATTATTAATAATATTTAGTTCTTCATCTTTATCATTAGTTTTTTTTAATTAATAATTTAAATAAATATTGTGAAGCATGTACAAGTGTGTATCCAAATCACGAAATATTATTCTTTTACTTATCAAACCAAAATCATAACATTAGTATTTCATTTTAAAATGCTAAATTATCTATTCTGCTGTAGAAAAGTGCGAAGTGAGTCAAGTTTTTCTACAATAGAAAATTATTTGGCTTATAGAAAACTTTAAAAATAATTGAATGAAATCAACTTCAAGTGAGTAACATGCCAGCTTAGTGCACGTAATGTGACTTAACGTATATGCTATATGTTTACCAATCGTTTTATAGTTTCGATTGTAGAAAGACAAGTTGACACACCACGCATTTATATTTTCTAACATGTTTTGGGTCTAAACTTTTCAAAACATACCTGTAAGCTGTACATCATTAATCATTGAAAATCTATCAACCTTACGTATTTGGCCCATTATAGTTCGTGATATTATTATACCTACTCAGTATGAAAATGTAAAATATTTGAATTATTAAAAATTAGTATATTAGAGGTAAAGTTGACCTTAAATTATCCAAAAAAAACTTATGCGCAAATTTCAAATTTTTAACCTATTCTGTAAGAATGTGTGGGCATTTGCATAGATACGTATATACAGAATGCGTTTCTGTCAGGATTCGTAATAATTTATGATGATAATATTTTTTTAATTAATTTATAACTGTAATGTAATGATTTATGTTTTAATGTAAATATCAAACGACAGAGATATGGTAAGCAATATTTAAATATATTTTCTGAAGCCGAGAATACATTTTCTAAAACCAGAACTAAGCAGAATTTTGACTTCTTTTTGTAATACGAGTATTAAAACGAGAATCATCATACAATGAAAGAGAATGAGTTTCTTTACTTGTAAAGTTTGTATTTGATTTTAATTGATAGATCTGGTTACCTTTGCATTTTAGTGCAGTCAATAGTCATCTCAGTCAATTTCTTTAGCCAACACTAAAAATAAGCCTTTTCTCTCATTGTATTTTGATTTTAATCTATACATATTAATTTGTTGCAATCTCAAACCAAAAAGGAAAGAAAGATGGAGCGCTACGTACATTTTAGTGACGCAGAAAAAATGTCAAACATATTGTAAGAATACGTATACACGTATACAATATGTAACGTAATTAACGCACACCCTCAGACACCCCAATTATTATATTATGTTATAATCATAATACATACACTGAATTTTTAGTTAAACATTCTTATGCACTGATTATTTATCAAATTAGTTAAACTAATTCCGGAAGAATGTTGTGGTCACAGTACAAATCCACGAACGCAAAGACTAACGTGCTTAAAATAAAGTTCATTTTTCTTTATTTTTATTGAATGACAGAATTAGTAATAATACAAATAAAACTGCACTTTTAAAAGTCTTATTGCCTTAAGTTACGATCCATTTCAGTTTGTTTTGACTGTACAGATTTAGTGTGACTGTAATTTACGCAGTTTTAATTATTTTTGGGATAAAAAATTACCTATATTAAAAATGATAGGAATCGATTCAGTAAACGATTCTGAACAAACTACTTTCTCAAAGTGCGTTAATTATGTTACGTGTTGTATACATGCATCAAAATCTAAAACATTCACAAACAACGACATATTATTACTAGTAGATATTCAGTTAGTATTACTAGTGCACATGTGTGCTTCCAGCAGTGACCTTTACAGACTGTTAAATAAAGAGAGAAGAAAGTCGTGTGTGGGTGCGTGCATGTCAAGAAGTTGAGCATGGTTTTAGCATCACCTGCTTATTGGTCTGAGGTTTCAATATTTAAAAAAAACTTCATTTTAATAAATTTGTGCAGCTTAGTATGATGCATAAACTCTTTCAATACATGTAAATCAATTTTTAATGAAAGTATTAAATTGTATGTATATACTATATTATATGAGTACATTAGATATTATTTAAAAAGAAGTGCAATCGTACTATTATCGATGAAATGTAGTGATAAAATTATTTAAGTAATTTGTTAAATAAATTATTTACCTACATTAATTTGACAATCTTCTGTTCTTGTCGTTCGAAATCATATAATTTTTAATTATACCTTAATTAAAAGTAGGTGTAATTATGCCAAATAGAAGTAATTAGAAAGTTTTCAAACAAAAATTTGACAAACAATTTTTTATGATTATACTCGAGCATCAATATAATATTATAAATATTTAAAACGCACATTTTTTGAAAAAAAATCTGCGAAATGAAACGCAACAACTTCCCGGCAATATTGATATAAAATATTCGCACAACTTATTTTAAGTCTGTCGAAATGGCAACAATCATTTTATGTTTACTAATAACGAGAATAAAAATAATGTAGTAAAATCTTCCTGTAGGTACCTGTTCGAGATTATTTTACATCCAAGAAACGAACCACCGAGAATTTGAATTTTGAATATTATTTCCCGACCTAGTTTAAGTGAAAATGTTTACCAATTTATACATAAGTAAGTGAAATATGTTTTAGTCGATAGATAAATTATATTTAATGTTTTAACGTTTAGTTACCTATTTTTGTGATCCAATACAATGTACGAGTCATTAAAAAAATATTAGACGATAGTGAAATTAATTTTTATTTATTTATTTTATTGGTTTTTTTAATAAATATTTATTTGATGCATGGGTCGATTTTACTGAACCGTTTAGTAGTAGTGTACCGTTGCATGGATGTTACTGTAACTATTTGAAAATGAATAAAACAAATGAAATGTAAATGTGTATCT